ATAGGATGAAGGAAGTAAATATACTAGATACAGGTTGATACAGTATATACAGTTATTAACAACATAAAATTGCTGTTTGGTTACTTGTCATTACATTTGTCTTTCTCATCAGCATACTACTTCATTCACATGAGAAAAGTGAGACGTTTTCAGCATGGCTTCCTAAACAAAAGACTTAGGGAATTGCTCCACCAGTCCTCTTCAACATTTGAAGCTACTTGTATTGAGCAACTGCATCTCAAACATACTGTAATTCTACAAGTAAGTGGCTGTAGATAGAGACCCACACAAGTGCTTCTGTAATAGCATTCAGCTTTTAGATGCAGCAGTCACACACCTACACAGCTGCTCGTGGGCCTTCGCTGTTTTTTGTCCATCTAAGTATGGACTGAAGGCAGCAGGAGTGTGTTGGGAAGGAGAGTGACTAAGATTTTTAACCTAGAAACTTGGGAAGCTGCCTGGAGCTGTAGCTATCAAGGGAACAAGAAGGCTGTATGTTGGTGGATGTGTTGTAGAGGAGTGCCAGAGACAAGAGTACTGACAAGACTGTTGAAGAAAGCAGGCAAATGCCATGGAGAAACCTCGAGGTACTGCACATGGCTGCTTAAAGCTTGGGTAAGTTCTGAAGACTGTTCTTCTGATACAAAGAGGGTGCCACTGCTGCAACGGTACTGGGAATTTGGAGAAGTTAAAAGCTGGAGAATGCAAAGAATGCAGAAAGCAGACATGTATAAGACCAGCTTTCATTGGTTCCGTTGTTTGTGGAACAGCTCCTTCTCGCCAATAGGTTGATTATTTTCATTCAAGGAGTGTTAAATCTATTACATTATGGAAAATACCATAAAAAGTAAATATAATTCATATTCTCAACCAAAGGATGTCCCATTTCTTCTAAAAAGATTCTTCTCATCAGAGCTGAAATGCATTGTGTTGTCAGGGCAGGAGGCCAGTGCTTGTAGCCTGCCATCTTTCTTGGACGCGTATAAAAAGGCATGGTTTGTCTGGTATTCTTCACCAGCATGGAACAGGACGTATATAGCAGGACCTGTAGATGCAGTGTTTCTGGTGTTCTTGTTTTTCTTTAATGAAATATGTTAATGCAGTCTGATTTTTTTTTTTTTAATGCATGATGGTTTGCACTGCTGTAAACAAGCCCTCATTTTTATCATGTCAGTATGAATTTTAAATCTATGTACTCTCCTTTTTTTTATATTTTCACTTCTTTGAATGTTTGAATAAGACTTAAAACATATTAAGTGGCTGCACTGTTAACCGAGCCAGCCAACTAAACCATGCACTTATGCATATGTAGTGGCTGCTATTAAGCTAATTGATTGTGTTTGAATTTATGGTATTATGTCCTCTGATTGCAGGGAAGTATGACTAAGGCTGTGCACAGTCTCTTAAGTATGAGCCAATTAACTGCTTTGGCCAGGAATGCCAAAAGCAGAAATATGTAAGAGAAGTGGAAGATGAAGCTATAAAAGAAATAAGATACATAAATGGTGTATTAATCATAAGTACTTAGACACATGTTGTCTGTCTAATGTAGCACGTTCACAAAGTGGCTGTAGTGACTAGAACTTTTCAGGGTCTGTCCCAAGTTACATTTGTGCAGCATGGTGAATAGCTGCATTTGCAATGAATAAGAAGAATGTAAAAAATGTTAAATAGTGCTTTATGGCAGATTGAGAATGAGAAATGACTCACAAACCTGCAGAATAATGTTAGCAAAAAATAGTTGTGTCCAGCAGTCAAAGGTAGCCGCTGAGCTACACCGCCTTCTGTCCACCAGAAGATGGTGCCCTAGAATACATTCGGTAATTGCAATTTTTAAAAGCAGCGATTTCTGAATGAGTATTTAAAAACAAACAAAAACCAACAAAACCATGCCATGCTACGGTCCTCAAAACAAAACAGCACAGCCTTTGTGATGCTTGTACCTTCATTCAAATCCTGAAGTAGTGTAAAAATAGTTGCATGGTCTGCTGCTTTCAGTGAAGTGGCTATCTAGATCTAAAGTATTTTGGAGAACTAGAATGACCTCAATTGACTTTAATTCCAAATAATCACCAAAATATTAATGCACGTTCATATCCAGACTTTATATTCTGAAAAGCTTGCTTATGATTAAATTCATCACAACACAAATGAACATACAGGACTCAAGCAAGATAAAGCAATATAAAACACAATACAGCTAGAACTTAAATGAATACAAAATAAAAGCTCCAAATCAAACTATTCCTCTTCATATTTTTTATATAAATTTCACAAGTATTTCTTTTTAAATCAGGCTTTGGAACAGAGGGAGGAACAGGAATAATAGTGATATTCTTTACCAAGAAACAAATCAATTTTATAAATGGAGATCAGAAAAGTAAACCCAAGTAGCACTAAGTGTTATTTACGTGTGGATTTCAAAGTATAATTTTGTTGTTTTCTTGATAAGGGAGAGAAAGAAGAAAAATGCAATAATAATAATAATAATAATCAACTCCCTGCTCAGGAAGTTCACCAGCGAATTCTTAAATCTGCAGATTCTCTGCTTTGTTGCAGCTCAGGGAGACAGAATCCCCAGCAGACCATTAATTTTCCCTGCCTGCTGGCTTGGCCAGGGTTTTGCTGAAGGCACTGGCAATTAGAAGAAACAGGAGTGTGCTGCCTGTGAGGCCCAGCCGGCCAATATTCACAGATCAATAACTCCACCTGGCTTTTTTGCTCCCTCTAAATCTCACACAAAGGAGTTTATTTAGCAGAAGCAGCTGGCTTTCCTTCATATCTGATGTGCTGATATAACTTAACAGTAGACACAAGGATTGCCACAACAAATTACAAAGTGAAGTTCTCCTCTTTTAATATTCCATGACAGCTCTTATGTTCTGAGTTGCACAAGTCTTTTTTGCAATATAAACATTTTATTTCAGGTTGTTAAAATTAAACACATGTATTTAAAACAAATTGGGGAGAAAAACTTGTCACACTGTAATTGCCAATCATTTTTTCTTTTATACAGCAGTAAGGAGTATGGTAGGAGCACTTATTACAACAACAGCAGCTCTAACTCTATGCATCTTGTTTGCACAGCACTGCACATATGGTCCTCTGTGAGAAACACAGCGCTGCTCGAGTGCATTGTGTACCTTGCAAACATATTTATCTCACCCATGTGGACTACATCTGTGGCTGCAGCACGGATAAGCACTATGTTCATTACGTGTGTGACAGGAGGATGATTTGCTGGAGAGCAGGCCTGCAGTAGCGACAGAGTGCTGTGCAGGAACACCCCTGGCCCTGGGCTGCAGCAGACCTGACTGGGCCTTGCTTTGAGGAGTTAATTATCCAACGTAAGCTTTCAACAGTGAACGTGAGTGGTGCGTATCAGTTGATCCAAACTGCTTGCTAAAAAGGGCTATTTCCTCTGATACCCCAGCCTCTCTCAGAACCCAGTGTGCTTTCCCATGAGTTAATACCAAAGAAAGCACGTGCTTGAACTGCTGAGGTACCAAATGTGCACTGAGGAGTTTGCTGCCTGCTGGCAGCATTGTGCTGTGCTGCCTGGCACTGGCTGGCTGGAGCTCAGCACAGAGCCACCAGGACCACAGCCCGTGCCTCAGCCTCACAGTTCTGCAGTTCACACAGCCACTCGGAATGTTTCCCTGCGTGAGCACACAGGTGCAGGCCCTATGCCCTGCTCAGTTAATTGAGAAGTGAAAAACAAAAACTCCTGCAACAGTGTCCATCAGCTTATTGTATAAGGCTCCAATGGTCCAAGCTGCCACACAGCAGGAAGGAGAGCCTGGCTTCCAGGTGGGCTGCATTAGCACACATACACTGACTTATGAGTGGTGTCCTCCGTACCCCAAGGTCTGCTTTTCAGGACCGGTTCTGCTTAGTTTGTTGGCTTGCAGGATTTATTTATTTATTTATTGCCTGCTACCCTGCACACACAGGTTGCCCATCAGTCGTCCTCCACAGCAGGGGAGGGTTCTGAGTACACAGTTGCATTCAATGTTTAATTAGGAGCGCTAGCAGGACAACGCGTCCCTGGCACGGACAGAGCACCTGCAGCCCTGACCTGCGGCCGTTCCCGGGTGCAGGGTGCTCAGTTTCAGCATCGTGTTTTTGTTTCTGTGAGAACCGTACGTAAGTAACTGCTGCTGCAGAGCGGCTCCCTGCCGTGCCGCCCCCGCCCGGGGGTCTCACACAGGTGGGGCCGCCCCGCGCCCGAGCGGCGCGGCGGGAAGTTCCACATCCAGCTGCAGTCAGCGGCGAGAGCGGGAAACCGGGTGCACGCGACCCCAGCTGGGCACGGCGCTCCCGCGCGCGGCGGCTCGAACCCCGGCGGCCGTTAAACCGCCGCTCTCCTGACAGAGCCCGCCGGGGCACGGCTCCTCCGGGCGCGCTCCGCCCGCCGAGCGCCGGCGCGGGGACTCCCCTCGGTCCGGCTCCGCGCCCTGGACGCGGTGACAGCCCCGGTCCTCCGTGAGCAGCCGCGGCCCCAAGCGACCGGAGGGGAGGTTGCCGGCCCCGCGGCAGAGCAGCGCCGCGGCCGCCCTCTCCCTGACTGACTCGGTGAAAATCATTGTTTGGCTCCAGCATTAACTACATTCCAGCGGGACGCAGCGCCCAGTCTCCTTCCTCGCATTCCTGCCCTACACAAAGGAGTCCCTGCCTCGCCGAGCCCTGCGCTCCGCTCGCCGCGCCGCGAAGCCCCTCCGGAGCGGCCGCCGCCTTCACCCCCCGCCCGGGGGTGCGGGCCGGGCCGGGAACCCGCTGCGGGTCGGCCGGCCGGGGGCGGCGGGGGCAGGGAGCCGCCGAGCGCAAATTCCTCCGCGCGGCGCGCCATTGACTGGACCGAGCAACTTATTTAAGGCTGGAAAGTGACACAGGGGCTCCTCGTCTCCGCTCGCCGCTTTCCGCCGGGCAGCGCGGCCGTACCGAGGCGAGCGCCGCGGCGTGGGGATGCCGCCGGGGTGTGCGCGTGCCGCAGCCGGGCCGCTGTGCGGGGAGGGAGCCGCGTCCCGCTGATAGCACCGCTGGTGCGCCGCGGGAAGGAACTTTTGGGGTGATTTTTTTTTTTTAATTTTTTTTTTTTTTTTTTTTTCCCCTTTCCTACTGCGGACTGTGTTTTCATAGAGCGATTCCCAACCTACCCCGGGCCGCCGGGCACAGGCCGAGCATGGAGAAGTACGAGGACATGGCACTGAAGGCCACCAAGTTCATGGAGGACCTGTCCCTCTACGAGCCCTGCCCGGACGCTCCCTATGGCCGGGGTGGTCGCCGGGACCTAACGCTACACGCCGATCTGGAGGAGACCAAGCGGGTCATCGCCGCCCACATGACGGCGGAGCAGCGGGGCCGGAAGATGAACGGCACCGCCGCGCCGCCGCCGCCCGCCGAAGCCTTCTCCGCCGCCGCCCCCTGCGGCAAAGCCGCCCCGCTCCGCGCCGCCAACGGGCGCCCCACCGCCGAGCCGCCGTGCTGCGAGGAGGGGCTGTGCACCCGCTCCGAGGTGGCGCTGCCCTGCTACAGCGGCTTCCCCGACAAGGGCAAGCGCTACTCGGCCGAGGGCTACCGCTACGCCGCGGGCAGCGCCTACGAGAGCGGCTACGTGGCCAAGGGCGGCGGGCGGGCTCCCGGCGGCCCGGACGCCAAGTACGGCAACGCCAGCCCCCGGGCCAGCCTGGCCGCCCCGCCGGGTCCGGGCCCCGGCGCCGAGCACGGCAAGTTCTCCAGCCCGCGCTCCAGCCTGGGCGGTGCGGCCGCGCCGCCCTACGAGAAGTTCTCCAGTCCCCGCTCCAGCTTGGTGGTGCCCGGCCAGGAGAAGTACGGCAGCCCCCGCGGCAGCCTGGTGCAGTACGACGGGGCCGCTCTCAGCCCTCGCTCCAGCTACGCCAGCACGGCCAGCGACACCAGCAAGCACTCCAGCCCCCGCGCCAGCCTCACTAGCTACGACGGCGGCAGCAAACCTAGCAGCAACCGCACCAGCGGCATCAGCATGGGCTATGACCAGCGGCACGCCAGCCCCCGCTCCAGCACCGCCAGCCAGTACTCGTGCACCACCAGCCCGCGCTCCAGCTACTCGGACTCCAGGTACGGGCCGCCGGGCGGCGTCGAGCTGGACGGGACGACTGCCGCCGGGCTCGCCGTGGCCAGCCCCCGCTCCAGCCTCTGCAGTCCCGAGGGCCGCGGCGGGCCGGGCGCCGCCGTGGTTAGCCCCCGCTCCAGCATCTCCAGCCAGAGCTCGCGGAGTTCCCGCGGCTCCATGAGCGCTTACCCCGAGCTGCAGCTGCCCTCGCCCCGCTCCTCCTTGCTTGGTCCCGGCCCGCAGGAGGACTGCGCCGCGCCCGAGCTGGGGGACGTCTACCGCAAGGTCCGTGCCCAGTCTCCGCAGCGGCACGACCCGCAGCACCCGGCCGCTGCGCCCGACGCCGCGCCCCCCTACGCTTACAGTCCCACCAAGGGCTCCGCTTCGGCGCCCAAGTTCAAGCTGCCGTATCAGGTGACGCCGTGCCGGGACAGCGGCCCCAGCCAGGCGGAGAGGCGGCTGGAGGCACTGACACTGGAGCTGGAGAAGGAGCTGGAGATGCACATGAAGAAGGAGTACTTCGGTGAGTGACTCGCCGCAGGGGCAGGGTGCAGTGCCCGGTCAGGCGGCTCGAGATGGTGAAGGTGTGGGGCCTGCAGGCAGCCGAGGGCTTTGGTATTAGAGAAGGGTGCATGATGTCCAGGGCTGCTCTGAACCAGTTATCTGCTGAAACCTCTGGTTATCGCAGGAGAAAGCCAGCTTGCAGGTACTAACATTCTTACTGGTGACACCAGTGTTTGTACCTTACTTCCCAACTGATGCTTTGTCTCTGTTCTGTGTAGCTTGTCAGGATCTGTGATGCCTTCCCTTCCTGGGGCTGGTAGGAGACTTGTCTGAGGCATTATAGAAGCTGTTTGTGCTGTTGGAGTTCATAGTGATTTATGTTTTTGTCTTTGTCAGTAAGGCTCAGTGTTCCTGAGGTTGTGTCATTTGTGATTGTACTTTCAGGTCATGTACTACGTTCTGATGCTTGTGGACAGCTTGACTGTTAAGGTAGTTCTCAGTGTCTCATTCAGAGATGTCCTAGGCCACAGTGCTCCTGGAAGCCCCAGTGTTGTCACAGCCCCTTGTGGCCTCATGGGGCCTGCATTGTGCTGAGTCGGGCAGGGGCTTGGTGTCGCTTGTGGGCTGTGGGAGGGAGGATGGAAGAGACCTCCTTGTCTTTGCTAAGGCTGTCAGCCTGTTGGCAATATCCTGAATGTCTTTGTTCTTTATAGAACAGAAGTAATTTCTTTATGCGCGTGAATATGCTTTGTAGTCACACCAAAGTTCAGATAGATCTCGTTTGTCTTTTATTTTGTACTGAGTAGAAAAGGCCAGAATGCCTTTGAAAGATAATCCTGGAGCCTGCAAGTAGTACCCTGCTCATCTGAGGCGCTGGGGACCAATGAGCTGGGTGGTAGCTGAGCTGAGTGGTAGCCAGGCTGGGCATCCCTGGTGGCAGGTGGCTTGTTCCCTGCTTACTGTGGGGATGAGGGTTCTGCATGGAGGAGCTTGCGGGAGAGAAGGGACAGCGAGGCCCAGGCAGATGAGGGGCTTGGGGTGAGCCAGCCCCCAGCAGTGGCCCTGTGCGTCGGGGCTGTGGAGTCTGTGGCCTTCTGAGGCAACCTCTGTGCCTTTCTGCACTGGCTGCGTTGCTTGGGACAGAGACACGTATTACCTTGGTCCTTGACTTAAATGCTGAAGATTCAAGCTGCTTTCAGTGTTAACATTAGCGTGCCCTGAGCAAAAGAGAGGAAGTACAGGACTTCGTGCGGTGCTTGTAGTGAGACAGACCTGCGCTGATCAGATGAGGTAGCTGAACGAGTGGTGCCCTCTCCTGCAAGGAAAACCTTTCAGTGTCATGCACCTGGTGTGGGGTTCAGATGATTGCTGGAACATCACCAGCTGAGGTTGTTAATGGTTCAGGTGTGAGTATCTGCAGAAGCAGGACTGTGGAGGGAGGTAGTTAACATGCTAAGAAATGTTATCTTCAAAATAGCAGTGTCCAGAGCTGAGAGCTGAAATATGGTTAGAGTAAGAAATGTAACTTATTGCTATCCTGCACTCTGAGAGGTTTCTCCCGTGGCCAGAAGAGCTGGGTGTGATCAGGGGCTCCAGGAGCAGCCGCAGGAATGGGTGTTGTGGATAGTTCCTTCTTATTTGTAAGAGCTTACCCGTTGTGTTGGTGTTTGCATGTGTAGGAACGTGTTGCAGCAAGCCCTAAGCTCTGGCAGATATGTCCTATGTCAGATTAGGAGGGAGTTTGTGCCTTTCTGTCTAGGGAACGTAAGTGCCAGCTGCCCTGTGTGTGTGTTGTTGTGGTGGTAGAGAGAAGCACTACTGTGTCTTGCATCCTAGCAGATGAAATCAGGAAAACATGGTTACTGTAAAAGAAGGCTGATTTCTAAATCAAGGTTTTAACAAGTCCTGGTGGGCCTTGGTCCTGCATGTCTGCTTCACTCATGGGGTAAATGCTGAGCTTTGGCTGAATGAGCATGTGAGGGGCAAGTCTGGTATGACTGCAGACAAATATGTCAGAGACAAGGAGAAAGAACCAGCAAGGGAAAAGTCCACTTATTGACAGATAATTTTATAAATAATCCACTCGGATGTATTGGAGAAGGTCTTAATAAAAGGAGGCCAGCAGAAATGTTTTGATTTGCATTGTGATTTGTGCATATTTGTATCTGACACACTCTAAAGGCAGTTGCGGAGTGTCCTGTGATACCGATGGAGAAAATAAATGTTAAGCCAATTGTCTAACAGCAGATGGTTTAATACTCCTTAATTGGATAAGCTCCATTGCCCTATGAGTAAAAGTTCATATGGTGACTATAATTTTGCTGTGTTCTCTGCATTTTCCCCGCCTCCAGGAAAGGAAACAGTAATCTCTATTTTGTCCATTCAGTATGAGGGCTAATCTATGTGGTACTGCTGTCTTCATGCCACTTGTTTTTGTCCACGTATGACTTTGAAGATGTGAACAGTGAGTTACTTTGAGGTCAGGTGACTAACTAGTCCTGTTAGGTGGAAGGATACTGTGTATTTGTACTGCTTGTTGGGTCAGAGTGTTCCACTAGCCATGCTTATACTGGCAGTCAGGCTGCATTTCAGAAGCCTGTATCACGGAGCAGATAATAAATGATGAAGCTCCTGTTGATGCCCCTGATATTTCCCTTTTCCTGAATGAGAAGGGCAAGGCAGCACTTCTAGATCAAGTGTCTGCACCAAGTTAGAACGTAGATGTGTCAGTAGAAGGACCCAAAGAGAAGGAACAGAGCTAGTCCTTTGGTAATGCTGCCCAGACAGTGCTGCCCCACCGAGCTGGTTTTGACCTTGGGGGCTGCCTACCACCTAGAGAGGGTGAACAGGAATTACGTTGGAGCCCTGCAGGCATTCAGGGACCTGCTGAAGTGGCTTCATGTGACTGAGGCATGTTCAGGGCCTGAGCCCTGGAGAGGCCTTGGGGGAGCTAGCAGACCCTGCAGGCTGGGGGGCTAGCAGCTGCTCTGAACACTGCTGTGCTGAGAGCTTTGCTTTGCCTTGCTGCTTTCCCTTCTCCATCCTCCCCTTTCTTCCAGCAGACTTCAGTGCATCTGTTCAGTGAAGGAAAATGTCATTCCACAGTTGGTTTAATCTGACTGAAAGTGGCAGTGCTACAAGAAGTTCCATATGCCTTCCCTACTCCTGCTTGCACAGCTGAGAAGTAGCACCTTACCGCATCCAAGTGCTCCTGCCAGCACACTGCAGCCACATGTGCTCACCGATCTTAGAGAAGACAGTGCTTGCAAAAAAGGGAGACGGGGAGGGTTGTTCTGGGCTGGGTCCGTGAACTGCTCTGATTCTCCCTTGTCAGTGAGATGGCTGGGTCTGACCCAAGGGAGAGGGTGTGCATGGAGGGCACTGGAGGATGAGACTGCTCCTTTGGTGGCAGCCTACAGCTGGGTAAGACTATGAGCTTTTGTGCTCTTATAGCTGCACCCACTTTCTCTGCAGCCTTTTCCCAAACCGTTTCAACTTTGTCTGCTGACTTCCCATATGTCCCCTCTCAAGGCACTGACAGTTCAGGGGTGCAGCTACTTCAGTGTTGCCTTGAAGTAGTCTCTGTTTTGTCTTGCAGTGTGCCGAAGTGGAGCACTTCTGCTATCAGCTCTGCCCACAGTCAATTCATGGCTGGAGAAATGGAGTGTCTCCTGGAGTACGGTACAGTCCTTGATGCATGTCTGTCCTGGACAAAGTGCTGCTTTTCTGGCAGGGCTGCAAATATATGATATCAAGTGAATCTGAAGCAGTAACAGAGGAAGAAATAAAGGAATGTGCATGGTATCAGCAAGCTTTACTATTAGCTTTTTTTGGGGGGCTGTGTTCAACAGCCTGAAAATGTTCGAGTCCTGCCAAGACGGTGGCACCTGGGGCTGTGGCACGGTATCACATGGAGATTCTTCCAGGCTGGAAGTAGGTGTCCTGCTTGCTTACTTGGAAGCAGAAACGTCCTCCAGCTCTAAACAAAATTAGCAGCTATGGTAATAATTGTGTGGTAGATGTTTGATTTTGGTTGTGTTTTTAAGTGATTTTTCACCATGTAGATCCTGTCTTTGGAAGTGGATTTTGTTCCACACTCTACAATGGTGTGGGTATTTCTGTTTTGACCTGTTATCTCTTTCTGTTAACCTCACCATGTTGTTTTAGCTTACTCTCAGTCTAGGCTAGTTTGTGGCTGCACAGTGAGGCAGAGGGGCACGAGGAGGTGGCCAGATGCATCATATCTCTTCCAACTGGAATATTTCGCATCATCTGAAACTTTATTTCTTGCATATCTCTAACATTACACTTATGTATTCCACAAAACTTTTAAGAGAAGTCCTATGACTCATTAAGGAGGAGGAGGGGAAAAAAAAACTGGAAAAAACCAACAGCGCAGCATAGCCCAAACACTCATTTAATGCTCAACTGAGAACTACTGAACCTATAAAACGTGTAGAGACTTACACTGGGAGACTGAAAAGGGCGTAAGGACTTATTGCTATTGACACCTGTTTCCAAATTTGTGATCCTGGAAAAGTTCCTCTGAGCAGGTTTTGCACAAAGGCTTGTAGGCAGTTGGGTTTAAACCTCTGCGTTGCTCAGGTTGTTGTGTGCGTGCTCTGACAAGTTCAGCTCAGCTGTATTGGCCAGCATGGCCGTGAGTCCTGGCTCTATTCACCGCTGAGATGGGGGCAACAACTGCAACTGCTGCATGGCTTGAAAGAGTAGGTCTCATGGAGCTGACATGGTTGTTGTAGGAAAGGCTTTGGCACCTGTGTGAAATCCTGAGAGAGTGGGCTGTGAGGTGCTGCGTGGCAGTTCTGGCTTGGTTATTTAAGCACATGGCTTAGAGAACTCCCGTGTGCGATGTACCCAGCGGTGATGAACTCCTCTTAGGAGAAGATTGTTCCCTTACACTTGGCAAAGCAGAGGTAGCACCTCCAGTCCCTCTTTGTGCTGAGTGTGGCTGCTCACCCTGCTGAGATCCATGCTGCAGGAGTTGGTCTGGTGCAGGGT